CACGGTGTCCCCAGGGTGTCTCCACCCCCAACAGTGTCCCCAAGGTGACCCCAACCCGCGTGACCCCTGGGTGACCCTGTCCCCAAGGGTGTCCCCTGTCCCCAAGGGTGTCCCTGGGCCACCCCCACGGCTGCCCATCTCCCCAGGGTGACCCTAAAGTGTCCCCATCCCTGGGGTGTCCCCAAGGTGTCCCCAACCTCAAGGTGACCCCTTCTCCAGGATGACCATGAGGTGGCCCCAAGGTGTCCCCAGGGTGTCCCCATGTCACCCCGTTTCCCTGGTGTCCCCATCCCTGGGGTGTCCCCACCCTCAAGGTGTCCCCATCCCCAGGATGTCCCCAGGGTATCCCCATCCCTGGGGTGTCCCCAGGGTGTCCCCATCCCCAAGGTGTCCCTGTCCTCATGGTGTCCCCAGCACCAAGATGTCCCCAGCTCCAAGGTGTCCCCAGCCCCAGGGTGTCCCCAGGGTGTCCCCATGCCACCCCTATCCTCTGATCGCCCCATCCCTTGGGGGATGCCCAAGGTGCCCCCATCCCTGGGGTGTCCCCAAGGTGTCCCCATCCCCAGAATGACCCTTAGGTGTCCCCATCCCTGGGGTGTCCCCAAATCCAAGGTGTCCCCATCCCCAGAATGACCCTGGCGTGTCCCCAACGTGTCCCCAGCCCCAGGATGACCCTAGGGTGTCCACATCCCACCCCTTTTCCTTGGTGTCCCTATCCCTAGGGTGTCCCTAGACCTAGGATGTCCTCATGCCACCCCTTTCCCCTGGTGACCCCATCCCTTGGGGGGTACCCAAGGTGTCCCCATCCCAAGAATGACCCTGGGGTGTCCAAAAGGTGTCCCCATCTCCAGGATGTCCCGGGGTGTCCCCAGCATGTCCCCATGCCACCCCGTTTCCCCACCCCCAACAGTGTCCCCAAGGTGACCCCAACCCGCGTGACCCCTGGGTGACCCTGTCCCCAAGGGTGTCCCCTGTCCCCAAGGGTGTCCCCGGGCCACCCCCACGGCTCCCCATCTCCCCAGGGTGACCCTAAAGTGTCCCCATCCCTGGGGTGTCCCCAAGGTGTCCCCAACCTCAAGGTGACCCCTTCTCCAGGATGACCATGAGGTGGCCCCAAGGTGTCCCCAGGGTGTCCCCATGTCACCCCGTTTCCC